AAATGTTAACCACTGTCGTGGGCTACTCATAAAATACCTAGTTACAGACGGATCACTTGAGACTAGATTGCTACAAGATTTTAGACTTAGTGCCTATAGACAGTAAAGCTTTGGAAACATTCGTTAAACTGTTCGATTAAGTAGTGCAAATTATGCACTTTAAGACAGCGAAACGATCTTGATGTCTAAAGAAAATCAAATTATTTATCGCCTTACTTACGGGTCATGGACGTCTACGTAATCTAATGGTTGGAGAATTGAACTCTCTTGACTCTAAAAATATTATTGGGTTTGATTCCCAGTAGGGTCATAATATTCTAATAATTTTACAAAATGAGCCAAGTTTATAATAGTCTCCAAATTATAAGAAAATAGCAAAAACTAACCAAAGTCCACACGAGTGGATCAGAGGTGGAATTGTGTAAAGCAATCGTTATCATTTATATATACCAGTTCATAGCGTACGATTATTCTGTCAAACGCTTTGTTTAGCGGATTCTATCGTAAGTTATGAACTGTCAAATGATTACGATTGCTTCACACAATTCCACTTCTAAGTTACTTTTTAACCTCTGACGAAAGTAAAAAATTAAATAGTACATTGCAAAATCACTAATGTCGTAATTTTCGCTTGGATATCGTAGATTCAAATCAATACCTATAAAGTATACCTATTAAGTCATATAAAAACCGCGAGCTAATCCCATAATAATAATAAGCCTATATTGCTTCATTACAATGATTAATAGAACCCAATAAAATACCATACCTATCAAAAAGAGTTTATTCATGGCGTCATGGTGTGAACTACAACTCTACTAACAACACAATTCCTCAACACAACTACCCATCAGTCCCAGGCATGCCTCGCTTCAAAACTTATCTAATATGCGGCTTAATATTGAAATTTCTAATTAACAATGTTAAAACGCGTGTCAATTATGTGGTGGTAGACGAATTGCTTATGTGGAAGTTGGTAGCTCGTACAAGTTTGATAGTCTTTCAAACCTGATGTAAGGTGGGAAAGTTTGGTAAGTTGTTACTTTGAGACAGATGGTAATCGTAAGTTATTTGATAGGTACTCGTAAGTATGAAAGTGTTTTAGGTATTTTAGTATTAGATTTAATTTTAATCTAGCATTTTTCTCATAGGTAAGGTATTAGAACTCACTCGTTATGATATAAGCTTACACCTGGATGAATGATAATAATAAAATTATAGAAACAGTCCGAAGTTATTACTTCGATTAGATTGTAACTGGCTAAACTTCGGCTAAAATTAATTATGTATAATCATTACCATTTAAGACGGGTTTAAGAATCGCGCTGACCGCTCGCTGATCGTCGGCGCTGACAGATCAATATGTATGTAATTGAAGGGAACGTTCCTGAGTGACGCTAATCGCTCAGCGTCGACGCTTCATACATTTCGGCTGTCAGCGCTGACGGGCAGCGTGCGTCAGCGTGACTCTAAAACCAGCCTAACTGACTACGATTAGTACTGACTGACACATAAGTTTATTAATGTTAACAAGTAAAAATTAGGTAGTCAATTCCGAAAGAAACATCTATCCAGAGATAACTGTGTTTTTACATTTATTTTTGCCTTTAATCGACACTGTCTAAAACTAAAATATTATCGAGGTAGAAACCCTATCTGGCACACAAAATAATAATAAACATTGTAACCAAAACTACTAGCATGTACCTAATATGCAGTATCCAATTATTCTCTTCAGTCATTCCATTCCAACGCAGTTCACGCCGTGTATGACTTATTCGTAGCACGACGCACTACGAATATTCGTAGCAATTCACTCTACGAATACGCGTAGCATTTCGTAGCGGACATGCGTTTGCGAGAGCAACAATGTGAAACGCATTTGGCTACATTCAAACGAATGTACGTAATCGTGTTACGCAGTCGTATTCTATGTAAAGTTTATGAGAGATATAGTTACTGCAATTCACGAAGGCGAGTGAGCTTTACATGTGTGGTGGCTCGCTACTGTTCGTTTTTCAAAAGTTTTGATAGACTTTACACTATTGTTATGTGCATGTGCATGCACACACACAAGTAAAGCTCACTCGCCTTCGTGAGTTGCAATAACTATACCTAATGTTTGGTCTAACAAAGGCAAAGGTTATGGACATAGTTCAAATATTATTTTTAAGTATTTAATGATCATGGACATACCTACTTAGTTCAAAATTTTTTAAAGTAAATGATTAAAGACTCAAGTTGGTGGATCGAAGATAGCAGGCAGTTTGAAAAAAGCGCGAAATTAAAAAAGTAGATAATTGGATTAACCTATCTAAAAATTATTTAGATACCATTATTTTGCCTTGAAGAGCCTCATTATCCTTCTATTAAGAAATCGCGCAGTAAATATGGAAAGGATAAAAGGACTATCGAATTTGCGTTGACAAATTGGTGCTACTGCCAAATCCACTAGCGAGTGACAGGGCCTTACTCAACATTGGCGCCAACTAATAAGCGGAAATACGGTAACATCATTACCAAAACCGGAAAACGCAGCGTGGGACGTCCACCCACAAGGTGGACCAACGACCTGATAAAGGTAGCGGGAAGGCGCTGGATGCAGGCCGCTACCAACCGTGCGATGTGGAAGTCATTGGGGGAGGCCTATGTTCAGCAGTGGACATCCTGTGGCTGAAATGATGATTACCAAAACATGAATAAAATGGTGTTACATAACAAAAATTCAAGTGTGTAATAATGTTTATTGTTTTAAACTTTCATGGTTTTAAAGTTTCTTCAGTTTCTCCGTGACCATGGCGCTTGCAACAGTGCCGAAAAATTAAAGTTGTACGTGGTAGGTGGTATTAAAAATCCCGTCAGTAATAATAATTGTATAATAATGGACACACACCCCTATAAACCACAACAAATCATAACAAAATCCCAACCAATCGTCACGTTCATAGCCCTAATTAACTCAATAGTCCATCAACTCAAGGGGATCAACAAAACATAGCTTGTAAGCTACGTATTGTTGGATCTCTCTCTCTTTTCACGTTTGGTAGCAGACTGTATCCATTAGCAGACTGCAACTAAACGCCCTTGGAGCTCAGAACTTTCGAAGTTCAATAAAAACTGTGAGCACATTATTAGGTACTTTAACCAAAATCGAAAAAGTGCCGAAGACAAAAAAAAAAAAAAAAATGGACACACGATACTTTACACTCAAACAAAACCCATCTCAAAATCTAAGGTCCAAGACTTGATATTCCTTCGAGCTTCCGCCATAGATACTAATACAGTCAACAGATCAGCAGTTTCGTTTTAAAATCGCTCTTATCACGACTGCATAGACGCCACAACGTTTAGCTTGCTGTCCGTACATCCGTTTTGATGGGCCATCTCTGGAGCGGTGCCAAGACCGAATCGATTGTTCGGCTATAAAGCGGTGTTCACACCGTTGCTCTTCCCGGTTGGATGAAGGGACCAATTGCCAGTTGACGGTTACGTCATGAACGTGGCCTGTTAAGGCCATGCTTCACAAGGTGTGCAAACATAGGACGGATCAAACGCCCGTATACATTACTTTGAGGTCTCATAGTGCGCGTGGTCCCACAGAATCTCCAAAACCTATTCATAGACAATTAGTTGAGTGGCAGACTGTCACAAACGAACCAATTACAGTGCCGTTGTGCGTTCGACTTTGCATAACGTTGCTGCTTCATTCAAGCAAGCATCGTTTGTGAAAACAGGCGTCAGTTTTATACTACTACATAGTGGGCGACGACCTCACAAAGGTAGCAGGAAGGCGCTGGATACAGGCCGCTACCAACCGGTCATTATGGAAATCATTGGAGGAGGCCTATTATGTTCAGCAGTGGATTTCCTATAGCTGAAATAATAAAGTCTTATCTGGCTAACTTTGACTGGTAGGGAATGGAAGCAACGGTCATCTTACTAAACAATAGCCTTTGTTTTTTTTTAACCAACTTCAAAAAAAGAAGAGGTTTTGTTCCTCTGTATGTTTTTCAAAATGTCTTGTGCATATACAGCTAAAGAAAAATGTTCATAAGAGAGAACAGAAAAAGAAGGGAAATATTAAAAATTCTGCAACCTTTTCAAGCCTTGATATATCTTCATATCCACTGTACTAACTTTGCGAAACTAACAGCGTAATTTCAAAGTAGACCAATTTCAAACCACTTTAAACGTTTCAATAAAATCATTTGAAAAAATGTTGATTTAGTACCAAGCAATTACTAACTACCCCACCCTACGCTCCTAGATCGGACACATAACACTTTCAGAATTTCTATAGCTTCTTTATTTCTTTATCAAACATAAAAGGTGTAAATAGGTCTTATACTATAAGGAAAAAGGAGATTCCGATGAAGTGGGGCAAGTTTAGCGAGGGAGAAGTGCGTGATTAAACTTTATCTCTCGCGAAAATCATCGTATCCCCCTTTTAGTGTTCGGGTCATGCCAGCAATAACAACGAGCTCCGAACACTGTTGAAATATAGTGTGTTAATCCTTATAAGTTTTGTGTCAAGGTCTGAAGATACGGAACAAGTTTGATAAACGTAATTTATCACTAAAGAGGATTTATCACTAAGGCTGAGTTGCACCACCTAACTTTAACGGTAACTATGACGATAACCGGTGCTTTTTGTATGGATTTTGACAGTTTTTTGACGTTTGTCAAAGTTAAAGTAAGATGGTGCAATTCAGCCTAAGATTGGATATTTTCTGAAATGAAACTAGATAACTACTCACATACTACACACTGAACGAACTAAACAATAGTATGAATATTTGTAAATTGGTATTAATAAATTGGTTTATTTGAACGTCTGTTACGGTTAATGTGATAAATTGAAAATTATGAAAAATCGCCGGTTATTATGAATAATTACCTACACTAACGAACTAAACGTAAATAAAATTAAAGAAAATAGTAGAGCATTGTGAAATAGATGTCCAGAACTTTTGCTGACTTTTGCTTTTATCTTGTTACAGAATCTAAAGGACCAGATTTTGACTACGAACGTATGGCTTGAGCATGTAAGTATCATTCAGTCACCAGTACCACCAAACTACATATTTATTGCAAAATAATACCTACGAGTATTTTAACCTTATAGGACATTGTACCTTGAGAATTTGAAGTTATCTTTTTTATTGATGAATTAATGATGTCGTTCTCAAATTATTTTCGAAGATCAAACATTATTTTTAACATCACCGTACATTTTCAAATTGGCAATCAGTCATCAAAGCTCCTTCGTGCTTTTATAAAATATGCCATAAAACAACTTTATTGGAAACAAAATTAAATATTTGTTAACAGGAATGGGAAGACCACAAGTTCAAATGGGACCCGTTGGAGTATGGAGGGGTCAAGGAGTTGTATGTGCCATCTGAACACATCTGGCTACCTGATATAGTGCTGTACAACAAGTAAGTTACCTTTAGCCTTGGCATTTCAAGGAATGTTGAAAAGAAACTCCTTGGTTTTTAAAATTGATGTGTTTATCCAGTTGATGAATGCAATTTTCAATAAAATTCCCATTTCATGTCCCAAACCTTTACAGTTTGTCCTACAATTAGTAGGTAGGTAGGTACGTCACACTGACACCGGAGGTAGATCTGCCCAAGACGCATCGTAAGGCCATCGTAAGGCCGATGGGTATCGTGTCGTACAAGATTTGAAGTAAGTACTTTCTTAGACAAACAAACGAGTGATCGGTATTGCTAAGTGCCTTCATTAACCTTTAAATAACTACCTGTTGAAGACCGGTCGACTATTTTTTACCTACCCTGAAACTTGTCACAAAACCAAACTTAACCCAAGACGTTGGTGTCAAATTTGAAACACCCAGTAACACTCAAGTTATATTGAGCACAGCATCAGTAGTTAGAACAATTAATTCGTACATACTCCGGCGAAGTTAGGACATTCGCTGCAAATTGCATCGGCTATGAGCGGTTAATTAACAAGTTGCTGGAATACCACTGATGGCCAAAGGCGTTGGAGTTAGTTGTTATTATGGACAAAATGACCAAGGCATATCTTGAAGGGTACTTTCTATTTTTGGAAGTTAGAAAGCTTGAAAAGACCATTGTTATTGATTTGGTTCCATAGTTCAGCTATTCTAAATAACAGGGAATTTAAATATTATTATTCAAGCGGTAAAATGGGACTGATGGGCAAAGATACATGGAGTTAATAAGCACATAATGTTGACCACTTGATTTGATTTGACAAAATTACTAATGGAACTTCCATTCGTCAAGTCATCAAGGTATAGTCGTATCAATTTTATTGTTTGGAACTTAAAGCTATTTAAATAACAGGATGTTGAATTCACCTATTTCATAAAAAAAATGGAATAGAGTGCCACATAGTTTCAGAATAAGCAATTGATATCATATAGTGAACTAAAATTTGACAATGTAACTCGTATACTCTTTGCATAGAACACTAATTTAAATATCCTAAACCATAAGCAGTGCAAGCGGCGCAACAATGCAATTTGCGGGGCGACGTCCGACAACTCCGGCTGCGAACTAATTGCACTAACTACATATATCCTACGCTCCTTTATTCTGTCCTAGAGGTTAGAGAGCTATCAGGAGAGTTGCTGGGTTCGATTCCTAATATGCATAAGGGGAAAAATATTTGCCTTTTGTTTCCAAGTTTAATTAGGACATTTTTGGGTATCCAGGCTACTTCATTTTATAGTTCTGCTCTTTGGTCACTTATTGTTCTCTCATCATAAATAGGTCATTTTAGTCTCGTATGCAGGAGGACGATTATTAATTTACGAGACGTAAGAAAAGGACATAATGTTCCATAAAAAAATATAATTTTAAAACAGTAAAGTTTTCAAGAAAGTTTACTAAAGCTGAAGTAGATACAATAGGTAATTACACTATGCCGACCTGTCCATCGGTGCTGTAATGAAAATCAGCTGTCGTATATATAAGTTTCGCTGACCAATACCATTCGAAGAACGGTTCGCAATGGCCACATCAAAAGGAATTTCCAGTCATTGGACCAAAACAGCGGTGACAAACGGACAGATTTCACGAGTCAAGCGTTTATTGCACGAACGTCCGTCCCGAACCGTCATGGCTGCTACAAGCCATAAATCATGGTGGGGGGTGAGAAAACTGAGGTATTCCAAGAAGCGCCTTTAATTTCAAGCGCACCAACAGAACTATTCTTCGAATCACACTTTTTAGATGCACTTAGAAATGAAACTTATTAATAAAGCCTAGATTTAACTTTCATCTATGTTTATAAATAAAACTGAGACCACAATCAATGGAATTCATTAATTAATTTCTTATGGGTTATCTATTAATAAAAATTGTACTGGATCTGCCTATAGGTCACTCACTTTTTACTAGTTTTACATTTTCTTAAGATGTATAATTTAAAGACATGTTATTTATATTCCGATCTAATAGACTTCTGGACACAGGCCGCTACCAATCGATCATCATAGAAATAATTGGGGGAGGCCTTTGTTCAGCAGTGGACGTCCTATGCCTGTAATGATGACGATGATGAATAGACTTCACAAATTATACATAATATAATTCAAATTTAAATACAAAATGAATTTTCCTCAATATCCAAAACATTTAGCTTTGCAATCAAATATTTTACTCAAACGTAATGAAGAAGTAAAACGATAGTCACGTCACCACATCGAACTATACATTTTATAGCAAAATCACAACAGGTACATAAGATACAGCATAACTTGATTTGCCTTTGGCACATAACAGTGTTACAATAACAGTGATAAATGGTCAGTCTATATTGCACGGTGTCCGTGCAAAAGCATGCTGCGGTCATGGCTACAAACAGTTATAAATCAACTGGACTGGATGTAGTGGTTTAATATTCCTGTCAGGGATCGATTTAGTAAAGACTTTTTGTTTCCTTTTATACATTGAATGCAGGAAACTTATGTCAATTAAAGCTCTAAATCGTAACTGATTGACTGACTGACATAGTGATCTATCAACGCACAGCCCAAACCACTGGACGGATCGGGCTGAAATTTGGCATGCAGGTAGATGTTATGATGTAGGCACCCGCTAAGAAAGGATTTTACGAAACTCCACCCCTAAGGGGGTAAAACGGGATCCAGTAAAAAGTAGGCCAATAAATAGACTTGAGTTATAGGAGTTGAACTCGAATTTCAGTTGTATCTGATTGATCAAGATCATGTTCTAATTTCCAAGCATTTCAACAGCAAATCAAATTAAAAGTTAAGTACATGCACTTCCGACTGCATGAGCTAGATCTTACCCCAACTGTGGGATAGATTGGTTCAATTTTATCAGTCACTTACATACTCACTAGGCAGAGCGGTGGGTTTTGAGTGTCTACATTTACTAATAGGTTACAATTTCAAAAGCTATGTCCAATACACTATTGCTTATAAATCATCCATAGAAAGTTATTTAAAGTACCAGAAAAGAGCAAGCAAGGCATGACTCCAGAAAAACTCTTATACCCTCTCATTATCAAAACCCTATTGCGTATTTATACATTTTTATACATAAATACTGAAACTTTATATTCTTCGTTTTCATCATTGACCATGAACATCAATAGTTCTATCCAAAGTTAAATCCTGAACACGACACCTGACTACATCAAGCTTACACACTTGTCGTACACCTAATTGATTGCGTATCGGCAAGAAACCATTCGCGAATGATACATCATGTTGCGTCACAACAGCCTGGCGTCGATAAATCATGCGTGCATGAGAGCGACGCACGTGCTGCTAATCTTACGCTGTGCGATCGTGGGTGGGTGGATTAAGTTAGGAGAGAGAGCAGGAGAGAGAGAGAGGGGAAATATTTCTTTAGAAAAGCTACCTAGTTGCTACTTTCCACGGCGCTACACAGAACTGTCCCATCCGTGACATTGACAGGGGGGCGCCATCGTCTAAACCGGATCGCTGGTTCCGATTTTTGCCATATTGGAAACTTCATAGTTGAACGCTGGTGGTGCCCCTCTGTCAATGAGTTTGGTGGGACAGTTCAGTGTAGGTCATCTACGAGTATAACAAAATTTTGTTTGTGCGTAGAAATGATGGTGATTTCGCAAAGATGGTTTACCCTAATGTAAAATTTGGAAACCAAAGAGCGCTAATACAAACTATAGTCGGGTGCAACAGCAGGGAAACGAAAGGAAAGACTGCGTTTAATGGCAAAGAAATCCCGCATGAATGATACCTAAAGTGAAGTTAGCCCTAAGAATATGAAATAAAGAATCAAAACGACGCAAACACTTGATCTCTGATCAAGAACTAGAGCTGGACAGATACAGAAAAAAACAATTGAAGGCTAATAAATAAAATAAAATGTAAATGTAATCTAATTGCCGTTAGTAAGAAATAAAACAAATAAAATATACAGGAACGTATACAGTGAAAGAATAGCCACATTTAGTTCTAACAAAGCCTGCAAGACTGAACGGGACACGTGCGACTAACCTTACGCTGTGTTGGCTCTGTAGACGACCCAAGTGACAGGACATCAGTCCAGTACAGTTTCGAAACACTTCAACTCAGAGGCAAAATATGCAAGTTACTCTCGATGGTAAAACTACCAATCGAATAACAACCGAAGAAGCTAGAGATTTAGTTCTACGGCAACCCAAAGGCAATCAATGAGCGACTTTGACTTTGTCTAAAGGTTTACTCATCGTATTCAAGTGTAGGTTGTAACATGGCAAGACTCTATCTTTAAATTTTAAGATTTAGAGACGCTACTTAAATTGCTATATTACACTCAACAACGCTCTTGAACGTCTTGATCGCTCGTGGATTTTTCGAGTGCAAAATTTTATGCTTAAAAACATATTTTAAAGTAATAGAAAATATAAACATCTTAAAAACCTTAATGTTACGAGTATAAAGACAATGAGAGATATGATCTAAAAATAGATTGACAAAGTGAATTTTTAAACTTAGTTTTTTAGCTACGATTTATTGTTGCTGTCTTAACTAGAGCAACAACTTTAGAACAAGCCTTTAATTCTCAAGTCAAACGCCTGTAGCTTAAAACCGATCTGCAGAGCGTATATCCGTCCCTTTCCGTATGACTTGCCTTTTGATAGGTTTATGGTACTGTCAGCCCGGACACAGCATGTTCGGGAGTGCAGTCATAAGTCCAATTGAGTTCTATTGTTTGGGTAGCACGATGCAATTTAGAGTAGACGTGAGTTTATTTTATTGCACCAAAGAAAAGAGAGGATTGTGTGGTAATAAAACTCATCTGTCAAGCATTCGGAATATTGGTCTATGCCTGAGTTGAAAGAGACGCAAAAAAGAGAGAGAGATTAGCAGTGTTCGGACAAAACTTAGTTAAAAGTGACTGGTTACTTAGGTAAGAGCTGCGCTGCTGTTTTATTACATCTAAGCACAATCACACTTTAATTAAGACTTAATCAAGGCCGTATTCTAGATATATCGTAGATTTCGGATGAATAATGCCCACCTAATGTAGAACCCTCTTACCTGCCCCATTCAATGTTACTTTATTGTTTTAATTTATTTTATTTTTGTTTATTAAGGAAACAAATAACAGTTTTGTTCTTATTTTCTTATCGCACAACATCATAAAATACTCTTAAAAATTTCCTCACGTTTATTAATGTATCTGTAGCTCAATAATGAAGCAAAAGTCGCGGGTTTAAGCACCACCCAAGTACCTAAGCAAGTTGATTTTTATTTAAAAAACCAAGTCTAATTAACTAATTTCCCCGCCAGTGCCGACGGAGAGTACGTGGTGACGACCATGACGAAAGCGGTGCTCCACCACACAGGAAAAGTTCTGTGGACCCCGCCAGCCATCTTCAAGTCCTCGTGTGAGATCGACGTCAGATACTTTCCGTTTGACCAACAGACCTGCTTCTTGAAGTTCGGCTCGTGGAGCTACGACGGTGATCAGGTAAGTGAGAGACATAACTCTAGATCAGGGTTTCTGTACCTTTATTACACCAAGGCTTGCAAAAAAAGTATTTTCATGCCCCTCTGCATATAAAACTTCCTTACAATATTAAATCTACATACGTACATATTATGTCACCAATCTTACGACACTTAGGCAAAAGTAACATTGTGAGTTGTCGAAACTGTATAGCAGTGATTAAATGGAAAACCGTTATTTACCGACGCGTAAAATAGTTTTCTTTTTTTCGGAAATTTAAACGTACCTATTACGGCCCCCCTGACATTTCTTTACGACCCCCTAGGGGGGCATGCCCCCCTGGTTGGAAGTCCTGCTCTAGATCATCATCATATTTTAGGCTATGTCAAATCCACCTAGCATGCAAAGACATCCACAAAGCATGATAGTCTGCATTTTATGCTTAAAACTCTATATTAGTATTATTATGTATGGATATTTCAATGTATAATATACCCTATAGGGTGGTCCTTATTCCTACGAAAAAAAAATTTTTTCTTATATTTTGCGGGGCACCACGTAATTTGAATATATACCATATGAAAGTCTTTCATTATTATTTTTTTAATTTTAAAAAGACATTTAGGGGTCGCTACCAAGGTTTGAATTTTAAGTAAAAACAAAATCTGTATTTGTTAGATTCATTTATTTTTAAAGCCAAAGCCAAATAAAAATATTACAAAATTATTGTTGTTGCTATGAACTAAGATATTATGTACAAAGTACATATTTGAATCAATTATTTTTAAGATATAAGAGTTTACTTGTTAGTATCTCGACGCGTCGGTACCATGGTCGGTATAGAAGAGGGGTTGAGGGGAGAAGGGGACAAGAAGCGATTGTCTATTCTATCTATGCGATGTTCATTTGCACGTAAAATGTGATATAAACACTTAAATAAAACATTTATGAAACCATGATTTAAGATTTTCAAAGCTTTTGTAAATATTTTGACAGCTGGTAGCGACCTCTAAATCTTAACTAAAAAAAAAACAAAAAAAGCTGATTTCATATTTAGAGGTATATAATCGAATGAGAAAGTGCCCCGGGGATAATTCAAAAGTCGAAAAATAAGGACCACCCTAATACCCTAAAATACAAAGTGTCCTAAAGAACCCTCGAAAAAGTTCCATCTGTCACATACGTTCCAAAAAGTAAGAACAAGTCTCTGAGAGAATAGGATCAATTAATCTTTCAATTGTTCCTTGGTAAGAATAGATAATTTATTAGGATCTGCTGAACTCGACAAAAAATTACTATTCACAATTAAAACCTATAGTAATATAGACATGATCTATTCTACAAGGACGTACGTCGAAGAACAAGTAGGTAGTACCTATTGTAAAAAACTTTTTTACCGAATCTATTTTAGACCAGTAATGAATGACTGTTATTCGTAATAATAATATTTTATGATTTCATTCGATAAGGATGCATTGGTACCTACATTATTGACTGTCACTTATAATAATAATATTTTAAGATTTTCATTCGATATTTAAGGACGTATTATTACTACATACTTATTGTTATTGTGAAATCATATCAAATGAGTCTGAATTTTGAATTAAAATCAAAGGGTTTATTTGATTGTGTAAGCTAATGAGGTACATAAGAGTGTACATTATATTTTATGAAACGTTAATACGAAAAAACATATAATAATAAAATGATACAGATAATAATTTTGTTTGTGTATCGCGTATCATTTTCCTCAAAAGGACAATCTATATCGCGAATGCTCAGTACAAAACAGTCGTTAATAGGTTAAGCCCTCTATAAAGGCAATTAACACGTCATTCACAAAGGTTATTAACGCGTCAAACGGGAAAGACACCGGTAGTCTTCAAAATTATCTTTGTCATAAACATAACATAACAATTTTATAACGCAGAGATTGACTACATAAAATAGTCTTTAATACTTGTTTTTGGCAAGTAACTCATTTTTAATCAAGTAACAGTCCTCTATTTTGACCTAGACTTAAAAACTCTTTTTAAAGCCTTAACATTTATAGTTGTGACGCTGGTTTACTGCAGACTATCTGACTAGGTACTTCTTCTTCTTGTCGTGTCGACAACAAACCTAAACAGCGTCGGCCCAGAACTCCGCCACAAGAATGAATCTGACTACTAATATTATTATATTTTCAACTATTCTACTATTTTATTTCTAAAACCAATACACTTTGTTCCTTCTTCAATAATTTTTCATGTCACAGATCGACTTGAAGCACATCAACCAGAAGAAAGGCGACATGGTGGACGTGGGCATAGACCTGCGGGAGTACTATCCCTCCGTGGAGTGGGACATCCTCGGGGTACCCGCTGAGAGACATGAGAGGTACTACCCTTGCTGCCAGGAGCCTTATCCAGGTAAGTTGTGAATATTCTAAAGCGTGGAAATAACCCTATGGTGAAGGTATTGGACTTGCCGACTCGAGATCCGAGCAACGCAGCTCCGAAGCTCATTGCTGCTGCACTATTGTGATGCAGCTACTGGTAACAAAGCATCTTTAGCTTAGCACGAGGGTTTGACAGGACTTTTCTTCTTGTACAAATCATAATTTAGTTATAGTACCCAATACAGATAAAGTCAAATGAATGATCATGCAGTGCACTTACCAGTTCTGCAGTCCAGCAGCATCAATAGTTCCACGTCGTGATCTATAGTTCTCCATCCTCTCTGCTCTCGAAGATAAAAGAAATTAACACCAGCACTTCACAAAATACACTTAACAACACTCGCTTCTTCAAAGTACAAGTTATATTATTCCACTTTCATCGATCAGATGAGGTCAACATACAGCGGTGTACTTTCTAGCATATTCGAGAAAACGCTCGGTAACTCCGGTGACGCGACGACGTCCGGAGTGAGCGACGTCAACTCGTAAACTATTGTAAAACCAGCGAATGACAGCTAGAGTAATGTTAGAAAAAAGGTGGGTAGTTAAAAAAATCGGAAAAAAATTAAGTTGGCATAATCATTTAGATGTTATTAAGGCGCGCGCACACGGTATTCGCAACTATTACTTATTTTGGGGTATTCGGTTGACTGACGTGTCACCGTGCAGTATGTTTCTCCACAGATAAAAATAAGTACTTTCTTTTTCTTGTCTGTCTTTCTCTTTCTCTTTATAAAAGTGTAAAAGAGAAAGACATAGTACCTACCTACTATCACGGTGACAAAAAGTCACCCGTGCACGCCTTACTGAGTTACTGGCCAGTTATTAACTCATATTTTTTATTCTTTTGCAATACTATAACCGAAAAAACGGGTTAAATTCACAATTCCACAACACATTTACTTTGTCGCCGACATTGAAAAGCGTTCTTTGTTGTGTCGTGATACTTCACAACGCCACAACACTCGGCTAATCTCCACTTAGGCTGTAAATTACGTCGTGGCGACGACGACGCTTATCTATGTTAAATTACTACGTTTTACTGCGGTCTTGAACAGGTTAAACGGTTGTTTTGCCGAAGCGAGTCAAGAACAAGCGTGGGAGGAATACTGATTGTGAACACGACTGTTTGATCATTGTATGATTTGGAAGTTTAATGGTTGGATTAGTCGGATTTATGAGTGATGGGTTCGGCTTACTTAATTAAATTTAATTTTTTATTGTTTTTAAATGTTACCTATCATTTTATCGGAGGAAGTATCGGAACTGTAACCTTCTTTATTTACTAAGCTATTGAGTCGAATTTTTTTGTTGACCAAACTTCTTACCTCATCATTACTTACGGTGGAGAGGAGAGGAAATTGTAAACACAGGTTGCACCATCTTAATTGAACACCAGTTAAGGTTATAGTTACGGTTAAAATAAGGTGGTGCAACTCAGCCTAAGGATGCAAATGTATAAGAAAATATTTACAATTTTTATATTAATTTCGACATAATTTATTTACATAAAGGTAATAGGTATTATAATTCTTTAAGAAATGGATATTATAAAGAAGAAATAAAAATAAACGATTTGAATAACTTTTCACTGTAACCAAACCACTCGTATAAAGTGTCACCACGTTGGTTGTAACACAAAAAACTGTATGTTACCCAAAATGTAACACATCGAGCCAACACTTTAGCGGCGTATAGTAACAACCGCACATTTCACGTTTAGATAAACGTGTAATGAGACCCATTTCACTTGTAGGGTTGCCAAATTGCTTTTTTAACGTGATCTATAATCTTTAGGGGTTTAAATTGTAAAACAATGAACTAAACATTTTTAGTCCTAGACTCTAGGAAATGGTACTTAAGTCCGTTTGAAGGTTGTTTTGTAACCTTCAAAATTCGACTTTAGTAGATTATTTCCTTTGATTGGTCTAAATATAGTATTTAGGGGCAGTTCAGAATAGACATTTTTAGATTGATCGTACTCATCTTCATAAGTATGAACTGATCATAATGGCTACATCTATCAAAGGCTAAATTTATGATTTTATATTTATTTTTTTCTGTGTTAATAATACAGACCTGAGTGTCCCTCAAAGATTACTCATACTTATTTTTGTTGCAAAGCCCTCTCTCTCTCTTATTACAACTAGGTATAGAACTAGGTTAGATAGAGGCTTTAGTTTTAGACGTAGCCCTTCAAGCCCTGCGGATCGAGATACAATGACTGCTTGGAGTTTGATAGGTTAATAATTGACAGCCCTGTTCATTTGCGCGACGGGCCTCGTGAGATTTTCAACTTTTTCGTTGAATCTACCCACGTATTTACGATTATTACATCGACGCGGCCCCGATTAATTTTTGTTGAGGCTGCTGACACCTACCTACATATGTACGAGACCTTGGTTTTGAAGGCAACAGTTAAATTTAACGGCTGTTTAATGATTTGTGCATGATGGGAGCCGGAAGACGTAGTGTAGGCAGGTAATAATCTTAGTTCAGTCTACAGCACCGTGGTTCAGTCTAAGTACAGTCCGATCAAACTAACTTCAAACTCAAACATTTTATTTGCCATTAAGTAGGGTACAGGTACAGATGGAATACAGGAAAAAGCTCATTATCCTACTCAGCCAATTACATATTGCATGCAAATATCATGAAGCAATTTCAATCTATACAATTAAAACTGGATGCGGGCAGCGCAGGACCGTTCATTGTGGAAAACCTTGGGGGAGGCCTTTGTCCAGCAGTGGACGTCATTTGGCTGAAACGAACGAACGAACGAATTAAAAACATTTTATATCGAGTGAAATAATTAATATAATAATATTTTGAATTAAGTGTTGTCCTTCGTACCTCGCTGGAATGCGACTCTTCCTCGCACGCGTTCGCTCCATCCTTACCAGAGCGCGATGCAATGTGGCGTCACGGCTGCCAGGTACGCAGTTAACTCCAGGTTGTATCTCGGTTTTATACACTACTGACTGCAAGAATTTTAAACAAATTTTTAGCTACAATTTTGCGATGAACTTATGTTGCCAAATAACTTTATATTTACTTTCTCCATACGTCTCGTTCTCAACATTTCCGACAATTCTAATCTCTTTAAATATTGTACAACTCTTGACAGCAATAAATCTTTAATTATTCGTATTCACAAACATTACTTTGAGGCCTCATAGTGCGCGTGGACGCACAGGGTCCCAAAAACCTATTCATAGACGATACTTCAGTGGTGACAAGCACTATGCGTCCCTTACACCTGTATTCACAAACATTACTTTGAGGCCTCATAGTGCGCGTGGACGCACAGGGTCCCAAAAACCTATTCATAGACGATACTTCAGTGGTAACAAGCACTATGCGTCTCTTACACCCGTATTCACAAACATTACTTTGAGGCCTCATAGTGCGCGTGGACGCACAGGGTCCCAAAAACCTATTCATAGGCTACATAGCCCACCAATTAACTCCTCAAACTGCTCATTAACATGCCAAGCTTGCAATATAGTTAATAGCGAGTAAAACTAATCTGCCCGCAATCGGTCGGAGTGGCGCTAAACCGCTGTAATTACACTCAGAAGTTCGTCCGACGGTCTCACCTGTTTTAAATTAGTCTTCCGTTTTAGTTCAGAAGAGGTTGCAAGGGTTAGACAAATAGCTTTTATCTATATTTTTAGGAGCTTCATCGTTTATGTCAGCTCCATCATAAAATTCATAGATACAACCCACCAACTTAAGGCCGTAACTATATAGAACCATAAATAACCGGTGCTCTTTGTATGGAGTTTGACAGATTTTTTTGTACACTGTACAGCCCAGCCTTAGACACAAAAATTAAAATTAAACTGCCTCTGAAAGACAGCTCTGATTGGAAGAGAAACAGTTCAACTCATTCTGTATTGATTTTATGGTGCAAAACAATAAAAAATAAACATAAATTCGGCATACAAAGGATTGTTTCCTTTGTGGTGACAGACAACCTGTTTCCCTGAAGAAACTTAGCCTTCACTTGTTTGGTTTTGGAGATCAAGCTGTAGATCTTGACTCCACAAGAGTTACAATATTAGAAACTAAGAGATGTAAAGCTACTAAAATAATAACTTTAAGTTAGCACAACTATTCTGAAAGTACCAAAAATATACCGAGGCAGTAGAATCCCTACTCCAAAGCAGACACTTATTTAATTTGGGATCAGGGGAGCTACTATCGTGTGTCTATATCCTTCGGCAACTGCCGAATGCTATGACAGATGATGCTAACAGAATAACACTCGTACATGGAGGAAATTATTCAGTTAACTTTTTTAAAGTTTAGTTTACCACTTAGTTCTTTTAAGTCACCCACGGGAAGAATGTGTGGTCTACCACACGACTAACATACATGATGTCCTAAAATTTCCACGTCACTGAGGCATCGGAGGTAAATGCTAAGCGTCCACTTGTCGGTATCGTACGCAACGGACGCATCGTACGAAACACATCGTATCGGATGTGCGATGCGTATGATGCGGACAGGTGGACGCACTTGTATGAGTTTCCATATAAATAATACTACGATCCGTTGCGTGCGATACGTCCGATGCGTACGATACCGACATGTGGACGCTTAGCTTAAGACGCATCATCTGTCATCATCATCATTTCAGCCACAGGACATCCACTGCTGACTTTCATAATAACCGGTTGGTAGCGGCCTACATCCAGCGCCTTTCTGCTACCTTTACCTTTCGGAAGCTGTCATCGCCTCACCTCACGGGTGACAGACAGCGCTCGGAAGGCGATGACAGCCTGCGAAAGACGGTACGTTGTTGATTTTCCGAGTTGAAGAGTCTACTTATGACCTTTATAGAGTTAATTTTGGTACTTACTAAACCTGATTATCGTAATTAATTTGCACTAATTTAGATAAAAACTATATCTCAAATGAAACCATTTGGCTTCAGATTTTACGACCACACCGGATGGCAATTGATCTACGGTTCTAACAGTTACATACTGGCATTAGTACATTATTATCTCCACTAATCGAATACATTCCCGTTCCTATTGATTCTGGGGTATTACCAGAATCAGATAAGCTTCCCTCATAAGGCCTAAGTACATCTAATAACAATGAACTACCGTTTTCAACATTACGTAACTCCGCCCTAATACCCACCTCCATGTACAGTCATAGACGTAAAAGTGTTTCTAGATTGCAATTCGAGATAGAGGAGAACATTTTATTCTTTTTACTGAAGAAAATCAGTATAATAAGTAAACCGCCTCTGTGATAAGACCACCTGCTTCAGACGCAGAGGTCCCGGGTTCGATTCCCAGTGGGGGCAGATTTTTCTGTTCGGTTTGGTTGGTGGTAGGGCTTGTTCTAAATCCGCCTGGCTAGCTGCCACCATCTTACTAAGTCTGTCGCCATAACAACAATGTTAACAGCATTATTGTGTTCCGGCAGTTAAAGGTAAGATAGCCAGTTCCTCCGTGGTTGAGGAATCCGGTTGAAGCTCGCTTCTACCTTCGGCCTGATCGTCACTTACCATCAGGTGAGATACAGGCCAAGAGCTTCCTCGTTGTGGATAAAAAAAAATGTTTAGAGATAAAAAAAATAGTTAATAGAATAAGAAGAAAAAGGAACATTAAAACTATTCCAATTATGGGGCAATTTAAAGTAACAATAGCCCTATGTGTCAATGTCGGACTGCTCGATTCGAATGAAGGTGCAAGGAAGAATGGTGCGGCGCGTCTTCGTGGATGAAACGATCTATAAATACGCTTACAATGTTTCTATACCTCTATTTTAAAGAACAAGAGATTCGTAGTAGGTACCAACAACAGTGTGTTACAACCAAAGTTCGCTAAGCATATCCCTACACATTACATAATTTCTTCCAAAACATTCCCATTAACATTGCGTGCGATTAACACAAAGCTAACTTATTTTCATGTCCAGACAAGTTATATCCGCGTCCAAGTGTACGCGCCAATTTGTCCAATAACGTTCCCCGTTAATCACTATCGGCACGAGCCATTGGAGTAATTGTCGGTACCTGAATGTTGCGGGAGAGAGACTCTTAGTCAACCCTCGATTACATACAGGATTAATGTATGGGAGGAAAAGAGTTTCAAGGTTTTCCGACTTGGGAACGTTTTTCTTGTGTCTTCAGATCAGAGCCTAGTATTCGTCTTAATGTTCGATTCATACATGAGCTGTTTTGTATGTAACTTGGTTAAAGTGGACACAAACTTGACAATAGAGCTAGAGGTCCTTTTGTTATTGACCTTAACTAAAAGTTTATCCAACTAATCCAACTAATATTATAAATACGAAAGTTTGTATGGATGTCTGGATGTTTGTTACTCTTTCACGCAATTTAAACTTTACAGTATTATTGTTTATAACCCAGATTACCATAAAGGCTATAATTTATACCGATCTGTGACACTAAATTTCACGCGGGAAGCCACGGGCAAAAGCTAGTTTGTTAATGTATCAAAAACCCAATCAATAATATCCCCAGAATAGATTTGCTTAATGTTATATCTTTAATACAATCAAAGGTAGACCACGAAAACCTATTCCCATTGTGTACAATAGAAGAATACTTAACAAAGCCATCCAAGAAAGGACACCTTTGTCTCTTTTCCTTATTTTTGTATAAAGAGCTATTGTGCGCAGGATAAGGTCCTTTTGATGACAACGTAATAGTGGGCTGGTATAAAGTTTTTATACCTTGAAAGAACAAGTTTAAGACGAGTGGGAAAAGCATAGAAATAGTTCTTGGGAAAGTCGCATTCGTAACAAAAACTAATAAAATATAAAGAATAACTACGTGGAATAAAGAGGGATACTTCAGGACTTTAAAGCTACTAGCAGCTTGGTGTCGCAAAAGAATCATGTCCACGACTTGCATATTTTTATGACAATGACATCATGTCAATAGTCGATTCACGTGAGTGGGTTTGGTGTGTAGACTGCTTAACCACCAAAATTGAGGACACAATAATTATTATACTATGGATGTCACATTGTTCCGAAGATTTAAAAATAATTTCATATCTGAGTCAATAACTTTATCTATATCTACAAGTTGTTGCAAATAAATATTTTCTCTATCTGATTGAACTTCTGTGTCCCTTGCGTTTACCCGTATGAGATGTATAAATGTTTTAAAAACAAATGTACCTACCTACGTTAACTTTTTTAAGCATAAAGAAATCATTTTTAATACGATTTTATATATTTTTCGTTTAATTATGTATTGTTTGTTACAGATATTTTCTTCAACATCACGCTGCGAAGAAAAACCTTGTTCTACACAGTAAACCTGATTGTGCCTTGCGTAGGCATCTCGTACTTATCAGTGCTAGTTTTCTACTTACCAGCCGACTCTGGGGAGAAAATCGCTCTAAGCATTTCAATTCTCTTATCACAAACCATGTTCTTCTTACTGATATCAGAAATTATACCTTCGACTTCGCTGGCCTTACCATTGTTAGGGAAGTATCTGCTATTCACTATGTTATTGGTCGGACTGTCTGTGGTGATAACTATAATAATACTAAACGTGCATTACCGCAAGCCTAGCACTCATAAGATGGCGCCGTGGGTCAGAAAGTTCTTTATAACTAAACTCCCGAAGTTACTCCTCATGAGGGTTCCTAAAGACTTGCTAAGAGACCTGGCAGCACAGAAGATAGCTGGTAGGAGTATGAAGAAGAACAAGTTCAAAGATGCTTTGGCAGCAGCTGAGCAGACCAACTCGAACGCTTCCAGCCCGGATTCCTTGCGTCATCACCTGCCTGGTGGGTGTAACGGACTGCACTCTACCACTGCTACAAATAGGTATGTTTACAAAGACTTGTGTGCTGTATATGCTTTTGACAAATTTTAAGTACCCACTGAACATAAAAGAATTGATGATATTGATATTCCTATTTGAGATAACTATAGTCCGCATTATTTTTCTCATTTGACACTCTTGACAGTGTGGTCGTGCTCGTAATGAGTTGTGATTTGTTGTGAGGGGATGGTGCTATGCTACGATATCTCGCCATCTTTCCCTGATGATGGTTAACTCAGTAGACTCGGGCAAGGGTCACATACATTCAGCCTCATGACAGCGCCGCGTCTTAACCCAAAAATGTAGAAATCAAAAATAAGTTGATCTTCGAAAACAGGCATATCTCTACGTTTCAACTTTAAGTACGCAAAATATTTGACATAAATCCTGTATCGTCAGATTCAGCGGCCTGGTCGGAGCGCTCGGCAGCCTCGGTGCAGGCTACAATGGTCTACCTTCTGTTATGTCTGGCCTCGACGACTCCTTGAGTGACGTGGCTCCCCGCAAGAAGTACCCCTTCGAACTGGAGAAGGCCATCCACAACGTCATGTTTATCCAGCACCATATGCAACGCCAGGACGAGTTCAATGCGGTTTGTATGATTACTGAAATTAGATATAGGCTTTAGGCTTAAGATACCCCATATACCACATTAAATGGGAAACGGCAATCTAGTATTAGCCCATTTGTCAGTCCACCGTTGAATATGCGGGATTTATATCGTTTGATCTGATCACATACGATAAACAGAGTCCAAAATTAAACTGTTGTCTAACTTCCACAAATAAGATTTCTTAAAAAAATACTATGAATACCTACCGGCGGCGCTTCTTCTCAGCACTTGCCAAATGTTGGTCTCGAAGCGCTGGTAGGGTAAAAAGATTATGAGACATGTAGAGGCTCCTTAAGAGCAAAATATTTGACGATCTATCTAATTCGGAATCGCGCTCAAAGATCTTTCCCTCTTTTAAGTTAACAACCTACTGGAATTTCTAACTCCTCTTTTCCAAATACAGGAGGACCAAGACTGGGGCTTTGTGGCCATGGTGCTCGACCGCTTATTCCTCTGGATCTTCACCATCGCCTCCATCGTGGGAACCTTCGCCATCCTCTGTGAAGCGCCATCTCTGTACGACGACACCAAACCCATCGACATGATACTCTCTTCTGTGGCCCAGCAGCAGTTTTTGCCTGTGGACAGCGGGGATCCAAACCAAATAAACCAAATTTAAAGTGTGACGTCATTACCAGCCCCCAAAGATTTCCAGATTCGATTGTTAGTCTACATTCAGTGTTTTCAAAAGCGTTGCATAATATGGTTCGAAAAGTCCTCATAATGTTTTTTTGCTCAAAATATATACATAAGTATTTGGCTGTTTAATATTTTATCGTATTTAATTTTTATTATTAAATATAATAATTTGTGAATAATCTTGAAAGTTATTAATTAATTTGTGCCAAAATAATGAACTTGCTCCAAACTAAGAAAATTTGTTAGTAATGGTAGGTTGATGGAAACTACATAATCCCATCAAAAACAATACTTGTCAAAAAAACCAAGTCTCGCAACTCAGTTGTTCTACGGTAAAAAGTTGTGAGATCCATGTAATACCAAGTCCAGGCCAGGAAATCTTTAACGTTTTACATAAAAAATTATTGACTTGGCCATCGCACTAAATAATTTAATTTACACGTGTTTTCATGCGATGGCCAAGTCAATATATTTATGTAAAACGTTAAAGATTTCCTGGCCTGGACTTGGTATTACATGGATCTCACAACTTTTTACCGTAGAACAACTGAGTTGCGAGACTTGGTTTTTTTGACAAGTATTGTTTTTGATGGGATGTCAGTGAGTCAGTCAGTGAGTGACAAAATTAAGTAACTTTGACCCGTTATAATTCTTAAACTACTGGTTCAAATTGAATGAAATTTTAAATATACCGTGTCTTTACAATGCCTGCATAGCTAATGAAAATTCAGCCTTCTAGTTTTATCCACAACGAAGTTACAGGCGGTCGAAAATGGCCTGAATTGCTTCGAGAAAAGGATGGTACGGCCGTGCCGCTTTTTTGCTCGACTTGGTGGGGGCACTGCCGTGCCCCCAGATACTTGTTGATATACAGAAAATGGAGACACATAGATTATACAAACAGCCGAAACTAGATACATTAATATACTCATCTTTGTACTCATCACCCTCATATTATGATCCCGGCGAGGGTTGAATTTGCAACTGGCACTGTCCAGCGCACAAACCACTAGGTCATTATAATCTTAAGGTATAATTGTTTTAGGTTTAATGTAGTTCTTTAAAATTGTAGCCAAATTAGGCTGTGACTTTTTGACGCGTCGATTTTAAGAACTTCTTATTATTATCTTCTTTACTATTGTATTAATTAATGTTTGTATTAAATGGTTAAATAAGAATACTTAGTAGGTATCCGACAACATAATCAATCTTTCTGAATTAAATAATATGACACAGATTAAACTTTTCTATGTTTTCTGTAACTGATATCAAAAACAACTTTTTAATAATAATAAAAACTTTTTTGTTATATAATTATGTACCTACTTAGTGTGTAAGAGTTTTCAAATAAATATGGCTGTGTTAGGTATAATATACTCGTAGTAATTAATTAATTCTTTAATGTATCCAAGTGTAAGCTATAAAGACGTAGTGTGCATTGCAATGTGAACCTGAAATAAGTAAAAGTCATTTTGTAGTCAGAATATAAGATTTAGAATAAATCCTCATTAATTATTAAAAATTGATGTCTTTAAAATCAACACGTAAATTACGTTAAATTAAATATAAAATCGAAAGTTTTGTATGCAAGTAACATAATTAAAGTTGAAAAATGATTAAAAATACGCGTTTTTCAGTTACCCCTTTTTACTAGAGATACCCGAATTTACCAGTATTAATTCTTTAATCTATATGCTATTTGATTAAAATTATGTTTCATATTATGTAGTATTAAATAAGTGATGTTAACAACTTGTAACCATACTTGTAGTTAATTAATGTTTTAATGTAACTAATTATAAAGTATTTCAAATAAATTGCCAAAGTAAAGTCTTATTTCATTTCAAACCCTCTGCCTTTTTGTAGTTTTACTACCACTTAAGAGCAACACATAGCTATTCTCTGGGACTATTAAACCTTAACTTCTTCTTCTTGTCGTGTCGACAACAAACCTACACAGCGTCAGCCAAAAAACTCCGCTACAAGGGTGTGGTGTTGTCAGTAGCATTCATTAAATCTTCCTGCGTGCAGTTGTTTGGGCACGCAGGGCACGACATCATGTGCTTGACTGGGGAACAAAAGCGCACTTGCACTTCAAGTTTGAACCATCTGAGAATCCCCACCTGAACAGATTTTCCTTCTTCACTGGTTGGGTTGCATTGGCGGCCAAGTTGTGGATCTTGGTATACAGACTTGCAGCAATGGGGGCTAGAGATTAATTAAAAATAAATAAGAATAACTAAAATTAACGCAAATAAAGTATGTAAATAGAGTCACCAAACACAGAGTAAATAGAGACACTAATTTGAATTTGGTTATTCTAACCGTTATAATTATTTCATGGCAACTAGTGGTGGTGACTGAGTTTGTTCCGGCGTTTCTTCTCAGCACTTGCCATTATGTTTGTCTCGAAGCGCTGGTATAGGGCCCGAAAGATAAGGAGACATATACCTTTTTCTTTTTATTATTCACTTTATTATTTTGATGTCCATAAGTGCCACTTGTGGTCTAAATCGAATAAATATTGTTGATTCCCAGTCAACAAAAATAATTCACTAACATCTGAAAAAAATAAAGGATCATCATAATGGTATCAAATCTCTTGACATTGACCAAAAATAAGTATTAATGATCCCTAACAAAAGGTCGAGTGAATATGAAGCAGTAACAACTCATTTAACGTAAGATTCCGATATTGAGTTGGTTTTTTCCACGATTTTCCTTAAACGGCTCGTAAAGCTGGGTGCACATAACGAACTTTTGATGGATGGAGTGACAGTTTAACACAATAGCACAGATAAGTACTGTTACGTTATCTGCGATTTCTATAACAATCTGGGTGACAAAAGAATATAAACAAACAGTTCGTTTAGGAAGTCTTATTTTTTTTAAGTTTGCGAGATAACTAGTAATTGACGGTAAACAAAGTATGAATATTCTCGTTAAAGTACTCAAAAAAGCTAAACTTGTCTTTGTTCTGATTTGAATTGAAAATCAAAGTAGTCTATTGAAAATTTGCTACTTAGTTGAATTAGGCCCGATTCGACCAAACTTTTATCTGAGAATAACTCCTATAACTGACACATCGACAGTTTCAGTATGGGAAATATATCAAAATTTTGAACAACTGACGATTTATTCTGAGATTAATATTTACTCTTGTTTGGTCGAATCCACCCTTAGTCAAAGTTCGTTGCCTATTCTATGTTACTCTACACTGTAAATCGCATCTTGTTTTTTATTTTTCAGCTTACAGCGACAGATTCAAAATACAATTTTAATGTTCCATCCGGTATTTGAATTATGAATCGACGGTCAAACGCAACGAAATGTGTGAACCCAGCTTTAGACTTATCCCTCTACCAATATTATCTCTTCTCTTTCTGTTTACCGCGTATTGAATAATGCATCGCCTAGTTGACCGATCGCACAAATTTTGTCGTGGTATAGGTCGCGCAATGAGTTTTGAGACAAGCACGTACTTACTAACACAGATATAATTCTTGAAAACAGAACACAAACAAAAATTTTGTCCGACTACGCAAGACGTCAGCGCAGATAGAGTATACAGACAGATATAGATCGTTTCATCCACGAAGACGCGCTCCAACAAATTTTTGGTCGAAGGAAACGCGGGGTGCGGGGAGTTTGATCCGAGCAATCCGAGCGTCATTATTGCAGTGTGCGTGTGCACTGTGCAGTCATTGAAAATTTAGCGTGTACCAATAAGTAACACTCAAACATTAGCGGAAGAATGGTGAGGCGCGTCTTCGTGGATGAGACGATCTATGCAAACCGTTGCTTGGGCTGATGGGCTCAACTCTCGTTGGGCGACCCCGACTTCAAAATAGGTAATTTAGCAATTCAATTAGATTTTCAGTTTAAAACAAAAAAAGGCCTGAAATTACAGCTTTCAAACGACGAATTGGACTTTGTCGCGTTTGTCTTGACTCGGAATTAGCATTTAGTGGATTTCTTGCGAACAAAATGGCCGTTTTGAGAGTAGGTAACGCGGGGAGAAGTTTGGATACATTTGAGGATACAAAAGACCCAGGAAAAGTTTTCCATTCTTTTGAACAACCTTGAAATTTAAGGGCTTGTTCCCATGGAGGCATCCCGTTTATTGTAGGAACAGTTTTTGCAGGATCCCATTTAGTACGAGTACTTATTTTAATATTAACGTTCAGACACATGAACATCCCGTTTGCAGTGTACCGCAAAAAAACGATTTGTCATTTGAATTTCAAATAAGTACACATAATTTCCCTGCGTGATCGAATTAGAAATGAGGAGATCCGTAGGAGAACCAGAGTGACTGACATAGCCCGCAGAATCGCTAAAATCAAGTGGCAGTGGGCGGGGCACATAGCTCGTAGAGCTGATGGCCGCTAGGGCAGGAAAGTTCTTGAGTGGCGACCACGAGCTGGAAGACGTAGCGTGGGCAGGCCTCCCACTAGGTGGACCGACGATCTGGTGAGGGTCGCGGGAGGTGCCTGGATGCGAGCGGCGCAGGACCGGCCTTTGTGGAAATCCTTGGGGTAGGCCTTTGCCCAGCAGTGGACGTCTTTCGGCTGAAACAAATAATTATGCGTGTTTAGATGAACATACCTGATCCTGCATTACTTGGTCCCGCAAAAATGGATTTCCGTGAATACGAGCCCTTACTGCTGTGAAAGTATGATGAAAGTTATACAGGCATTTATTTATTAGTGCATAAACCTGTTAACCGAAGACCGAAATAGGTAAAGCGATTTATTTTTGGACCAATCCGTCTCACTCCATCATGTTTTATTACTAGTTTGACGTACTTACTTAAGAGTCGGTAAGTACACTGAAATAGGTAAATACCTAGTTGAAACGAAGAGTTTGTTTACGCCATTAAATATTACATTAAACAGCATTAAACTAAAAATTTTAATAGTGGATTAAAAACAGAAACTTAAAACTTTCAGCACCTTAAAAAACTGAATGTAGCACAATGGAATTTAGGAAATTTTTTATAAGGGTGAACTCTATTTCGATTTTTGTTGATGTCATTTAAAATTAAAAATATTACTGCATCATTAGTTTCATGATCAAGTCGTG